CAATATTGCCAGAGCATTAACATTAAAAGGAATATAAATATAAAAGTGTATGATGCTTTTACCTTAGTGATCAGCGTGTCTGTATGTGGGTCTGTGTCTAGGCAACTAACTAGGCGAGTTATAACACTGTAAAAACAACAGCAGGTGAATTGAACTCATCTTTGAGTGCCACACACTCGCTCACACATTCTAATCATATTCTAAAAGATACTGTGCAGCTCAGTGGGAGAGTGGGTGACATCGCTATAAACGTTTAGCACACCTTGATGACATTTTCAGTGTGTGATGTAAATACCCTCATACTTTAATATTTCTTTAATTTTATAAGATTTATACAGTTAGCGATAGATAGGAATTCAAAAAAGTCAGTTGACGTAAAAATACTTTATACTGTCCGACTCTCCAATACTGTTGAATTCCCTGCAATGACAGATGGTCCCTGTGTGTGAGTGTGTGTGTGTGAGAAAGTGAGAGAAAGGACTGAATGACACGGACAGATAATGGAACCATTAATTCTGCAGAGCGAAGAGTGCCAGCTGGGTGCAGCTGCGGTGTACAGGCTGGCACACAGAGGGCGACGGATAGAGGGAGGAAGAGAAAGTGATGAAGTGGTAGAATTGGAGGAGAAGGTGAAAGAGGGGGTGAAACAAATAAAATGAATAAGTGACGAGGGTGAGAGAAGAAGAGGGAAAGACAGAGAGAGGAAAGGAGAGAGCCAAGCGTTAGTGATAGAGGTGATACCAGAGTTTTGATACCGATATTAAAGCAATGTTTTTTTAAACCTTACTAAACTTACTCATACAAAACAGTCTTCCCAACACAAGCAGACGCACAACTTTCCCTCCTAAAATACAGCCCTAAATCGGCAAAACTGATCCGTGCTGTCTTTCGATGCTTGACAGGTCTTTGAACCTCGGTGCTGCAGACACAGTTTGGTCGGTACCAGAAACGTAGTGACATTGGATACCCAGCCCTACCACGAGCAGGACACTGAATCCCAGCTATAGATGTATTCAACAAAAATATATCCACACGCCCCGCCTCGCCGACAGCAATGTAATGTTTCAACCGGTGACCCTGAAAGGGCCCTGTACGGCTTTTGTTGTAATGGATGTGTGTGTGTGTCCTAAAGTCTTAATGGACCAGAGAGTATCGCTTTACATTTGATCACAGCCAACACTGCACTGTCCATGAGATACCTGATTACCAGCAGGTCCCTCACCTCTGACCCGAGGGCATTATTGTAGTACAATTTTGGAGTTTGCGTGAAATCTAGGATTTTATAAAAACTAGCAAAGTATTCCTACACCATTTTAATTTGTGTTGCCTTTAGTGGAATGAAAATGAATAACAGTATTTTTTAAACTTAGGTAAAAAATAAATAAATGGTAAAAACAATGGTGCTCCTCATGTTTGACAGCGTATTTAAAGCTGCCGAAAACCTTCTCAGTAACATTAGATATTTCACGACTGGCTCACCAACAATCAGTTTAAAAAAAGCCCCAACAACCCCAATAAATCAGTTAATACGTTTTTCAGTAAAAATGTAATTTGTGATGCAAAAATGATCATTGCCACACGTATCATATCACAATCTGTCATAATACTTGCAATATGATGTTTTCACCATCTTGTGCAGCCCTAGTTTTTAGGGCCTTTAATGACATAAGATGGGTTTTATTTCAGGCATTGAGACAGTATAATTAGACTATATTAAAGGGTGTATAGATTTCTAATAGATACTAGACAAGATACCAGACTTGTGTATATTAACCAAGTGGAAAATGCTGGTCAGGGGTCAGTGACTATCATTCATTAGTATGACCAGTCAGGATAACCATATCCAGTGTTTAGGCCCTATCTTTAATCACATGACCTAAATGTATTTAAGCCCTTCAGAGCCTCTGCATCTAGATAAAAAAAGCTCTGTATAAATGAATGTATCAGTCTGTGCATAAAAACAAACTGAAAGTAGCGCTGCAGTGGTTCGCAAGGGTAAATGGTCTTGAACTCGACTGATCCTAATAGCAGAAGTGATACAGATGACCTCAAGTTATTGATTTACAGTAACTTTCATATATGTTGTTTTCTCTTCTGGTAACCACTAGATGGTTTCTCCTCCACAGTGGGGGGTGGGAGGGCAAATATAATGGCTGGAAGAGACAGGCACTCTGCCAGGGAGGACAGGAAGACAGAGAGAGCGAGAGCAGGGAAAGACATGAGGGCCCAGTGTGTGTCAGGATGCAGCCTTTAGTGTGTGTATGGAAGAAACACATCTATCCTGAGCAGTCAGCAACTCTCTGGCCAAGAGAGGAAGACAGAGTGAGTGCGGTGTTGTTACTGACAGTCGTGTTTGTTCAGGCAGTGCGTGTACACTGTATAGATCACTGACGTGGATGCATGTGTGTGTCGGAAAAAAGAAGTGAGGTGGACAGAGACAGGGTATTTATTCTGGGCTTTCAGAGACAGTAGCACTTCTTTGGATATTTAAAGAGCAAATCCATTATTGAACAGCTTGCTGTGGCTCTATGGCTGCCTGTCTCTGCTTCTGTTGGGGTGTCTACAGTATATTCTCCACCACCTTATTTGTCCCTCAGTAAAATGCTACAGTGTGTGCTTATACCTCACTGGTACAAAGGCAACATAAATCAAACTCACAGCCACAACACTAGCACATATGCACTAGAACAATATGGATGAATATGTATTAATTGATCAAAGTTACAATTCAGTTTTTTTTTTACTGGCATTAAAATATATGACTCACACATCATACGTAGTGTGTAATAAAGCAGCAGAACAACAAAAGCAGAGAGAAATGTTCATGATATCTGTGATATATGACATACAGTGGGTTTATGTGTGTATAATGTGTAATGTATATGATGCATATACAGTAGATATTGTATTCTCTGTCTTCATGCCATTGTGCTCCATTCACACATTCGCTAACTGTTTTGACTGATTGTGCAAAATATGATACTCACATAGAGATGCAGACAGAAGAGGAGGAGATGGGGGAGAGAGGGAGTAGAGTGGGCAACCTGAGAGGAGTGGAGGGTTAGAGTGGAGACAGAGAGGGGACAGAGAAGGACATTTAGGGCAACAGGAAACAGCACAGGACACTAGAAGGAAAGCGAAATGGATACAGAGAAAGAGGTGAATAACAAAAATCTGTGAGCGGTGAGGCTGGCTACTTGCTGTAATAGAAAAAAGAAAAAGATGAGCCTGTAAGACCATCAGTATAAAGAAAATAAAGATATCAATAGCAGACATCAAAAACCCCACACAGAAAATTGTTTTAGAAATGGCCTTGTCTGTCTCCAAGGTAACAAAGATAGATTAAACTTGCCCTTCAGAGATTGGACATAATCAATTTCACAATGTAACCCAAGCGGCAGTTTTACAAACCTATTGATTTTTGTAAAATGCACACAGCATATATTTAATAAAGCTCTCCCTCTCTGTCTCTGGATCTCTCTCGGTCTCATTAGTTGAACATCCTGGTGGATACAGGAAGCAGTAACTTTGCTGTCGGGGCGGCTGCTCATCCCTTCCTGCGCAGATACTACCATCGCTCACTGTGAGTACACTCAGCAACGGAGAACATCTGACTTAGTTTTCAGGAAAGTGACATTAATTAGATGACTCAGATTGAGGTTCTGTGTACAACCATGAGTTCATACTTGTTGATGGTTTCTTATAATAACATTTTACTTTTTTGCGGTTGTGTGTGATAAATGAATTATTAAAACTGACTCACGATCACAATGGCCAAATATATTCCCATAGTCAACACATCTTATTACTATCAAACTGATTTACATTAAGATGCTTTTACATACAAACAGATTGAACTATGAGTTATGCCTTTCTATTCTTCTTATATTGTGTTCACATACACCTTTTGAGTCCTGAATGGGATGCCTGAAGCTTTTCCGTTTTTTTTACTGTAATACCACAACAGTCCTCCAGGACACCAACCCCTCTTGTTTCTCCTCCACTGTTTTATCCCCCTCTGTTGTCTTACCATCCATTCACAGGTCCAGCTCTTACCGTGACCAGGGTAGGAGTGTGTATGTCCCTTACACCCAGGGTCGCTGGGAGGGGGAGCTGGGCACCGACCTGGTCTCTGTCCCACATGGCCCTAACGCCACACTGCGCGCCAATATCGCTGCAATCACCCAGTCAGACCGCTTCTTCATCAATGGATCCAACTGGGAGGGAATCCTGGGACTGGCCTACGCCGATATAGCACGGGTAACAACAGCTACATCTCATTTATAAACTGATGGGCACTGGTGTATTTTTACATACTGCCTACTACATTACTAAAGGCATTAAAGGGAAGCAACATTAATCTTACAGTGAATAAAGTATGAAAGTATCACATTTTAGATCAATATTTAGCCGTGAGGGAAAGGACGCTTCAGCACGTTATCAGTGGCCACACCACCAGCCGCTGGTGGAGACTGAACCTGTGAAGGTATTATATATTTACTCATTGCTAGTTAAAGTGAATAATGCCTTGGGAGTAGTCATTTGCATGCTTGTTACATTACTTTTCTCTGGCCCCCGCAACATTCGCAGTTCCGCTATAGCAGTCATTCAAAAAGGCTGTTTATCACTTCTCCTGTGAACGATCAGGAGAGCCAAACAGGGCAGATGTCGAGTGTATTCCTGTGAGCACTGAGCTTGTTGAAAGACTAATGAGAATACTGTGCTTCCCTTTTTGTCCCTTTCTTAGCTTTCTGAATTCCTAGTCTGGTATAAGAGAGTGATTACTGGATCTGCAGATGGATGTGGGATATAGTGTTTGGGTAATTCTAATTCAGTCGGACATTTGGAGGATATAATGAGAGAAGTGACACCTTATTTTTGGATACATTACCTACTCCCGAGGACAAAAAAGTAATGATAGCATTGTATTCACTGGGAAGGAGTGATAGGGAAAAGAGAGGCAGACTGAAACTTGATTTAAAAACAAGTATGCTGATCGGTCAGGAGAAGGATGAGGTATGTTTAATCTTTTGTAAATGAAAAGCTGAAGGCTAAGGCTTTGGTTTGTTCAATCAGAAGTAAAGCTCTCCTACTTATTTCTCTCTCTCTCTCTCTCTCTCTCTCTCTTTCAGCCCGATGAGACATTGGAGCCTTTCTTTGACTCTCTCGTTCGTCAGACTCCTGTCCCCAACCTCTTCTCTCTCCAGTTGTGTGGAGCCGGCTTCACCCAAAACTACTCCCTGGGCAGCGCTACTGTAGGCGGCAGCATGGTGAGACGCACATAGGCACACACACACACACACCGACACGTACAAACTGTGCTATATCATATCTAGAGCCAGTAACGAATCATATTGTTCCATGTGCTCTTAGATCATCGGAGGAGTGGACCCATCACTGTATGTGGAGGAGCTTTGGTACACTCCCATCCGCAGGGAGTGGTACTATGAGGTCATTATCGTTCGTATTGAGGTGAATGGACAGGACCTCAACATGGACTGTAAAGAGGTGAGATGGACGGACGGCGGCTCAAACCAAAGAAAGAAAGATTTGATGGTCTGTCACTGCTAAAAGCTGTGTAAGACATTTCTAACCGGTTTGTCTGTCTTTTACAGTACAACTACGATAAGAGCATTGTGGACAGCGGCACCACCAACCTTCGACTGCCTAGAAAAGTCTTCCAGGCTGCAGTCAAGGCTATTGAAGCAGCCTCTTCGGTCAGTCCTCACCACGCTGTAGACATTTTATATCTTTATTATAATCCGTATAACACTGTTTCTCTCTTTCTTCCTCTGTTGCTTTCACCGCCCCAGTCGTTTCTTATTTCTTGAGATATCTGATGAAAGCAGATGTTCGTATTTTACCCCACATGGAAAAGCTTGAGACTCATTTTATTAGATGGATATTTTTAAGACGGAATGCTCTCATCTTCATATAGATATTTGACTTGTTAATATTTGACTGTTTCCCTCTCAAGACGGTTTGAGAAAAACATTTCAAGTTTCACTTCATTTCTGAAAAACCTAGTTTTATGGATATTTCCCCAATTCCATTCTGTTGCAGTTACCAATATTTTGTGCTGACACATTCAGGTGTAATTTTCTCTGGTCAAAATGATAGACTGGAGCTGTGCTTATAGTAATACTCTAGATGCCTCCCTGCCTCATGTCCTTTGCTTGTTTGGATAAAAAGGGTGGGGATGTTTGAAAATCTCATGGTTCATTTCCACACGTCCTTCATTCCTATTTTTGTCCCTCTCCCCCACTTTTTTGAACAATGTCCCCTGACTGTCCAGCCGCCACAGTGCAGATGAGAGAAGATCTGAGTGGATAAAAATGTTGACACACTCAGCTGAGTAGCCTCCAGTTATCACAGTGTGCTTACAGCAATAAGCTTAACAAGCTGCAGGGAGAACCGATGGTGAGTGCTTTGCACAGTTTTTTTCGCCCTGGGTTCTGCGTCTTAGGCCACTTCTGGCTGCCCCACTTTATTGGTGAAGGTTATCGGGCTGCATGAAGCCTTAAAAGGAATATGTGCCGACACTACTTCAAAATGCTAGTGTCAATGTCGCTCTTCATGTGAAATGTTTGTATTTACAGCTAGTATTGTCCTACAAAGACACCCCCTGGTCTTCGTAGTGCAAATGCCTCATTGACAGGGAGTAGCGGAAGCTGGAAATTAATTTCTAACTTGACATTGCGTTACATTTCTTTGTTCTACTACCAGTTTAATCATCATGTCTTTAGTACACTGAAATGCAATGTCAGACTACGCTAACTGGTCTTGAAGGTCACCGTCTGAGGGACAGAACAGGCATAGAAATGAGTGTGGGAGTACACAGCTTTTTCATTTGGAAGTGATAACCACATTCATTGGAAAGGAAATGACCTGTATGTGTGTGAATAATGAAATGAAAGTGTAATTAACCAACACTGACTAAATATCTCGTGTCGTGTTCTGGAGTAAGGCGTGGGGCCAACACCAGGGAAACCCAGAATTATACCTGGCACGGTCTTTACAAACAGACTGAGATTCTTTGTTTGCTTGATCAGAGTAGATTTTTTTCAAGTACTGCAGTTTGTGTTAGCTGCCTCATTTACTAGTGATGGACTAGGCTCTGGGTGATGGCATACTCACAAAGTTCTTCACCTTCACAACTAATTATTGTGATCAATCTTTTCTCCCCATCCCTGCTGGATAGGTTTCAGCCTCCCCTCGTGACCCTGATTTGTAATGAGCGGGTATGGGAAAGGAAAGAATGAATGTCCTTCTGACCCTGTTTTTCAGACAGAACAGTTTCCCTCTGGGTTCTGGCTGGGGGAGCAGCTGGTATGTTGGCAGGCCGGCACTACACCCTGGCACATCTTCCCAGTCATCTCCCTCTACCTGATGAGTGAAAATCACAACCAGTCCTTCAGAATCTCCATCCTGCCGCAGGTAATGCACCCTATCTCGTAGTGTAACTGAAAGTGGTTGTGTGAAGCAAGAGTTCACTCATTTTTTCAGGTCAGGGGTCAACTCTGTGATAACGTTTGTCCAATAGGATCATTATGGTAAACTAACTAAAACTGTATGGTAACCTGTTAAATACTGTTAAATACTCTCAGCCTATAAGAAGTTTTGATATTAACTGATAATTCAAAAAGGTTTTGTCATTACTATGAGTCATGTACATCCCTGTGTAATTCCAAGGTCTTGAGATAAATGCAGAGTTTTTATTTCCCTATTCACTCTTACAGAAAGTCTGATCACAATAAGTCACCTTCTCTTTGAAATAGTCCTCAATAGATGAACGCCTGGCCAAAATAACAACCACATTTCAAAGAGAACTACCTTTGAATACATTTTCTAAAGCTCTGAAATCATTCAAATCTTTTTCCGAGGCCACTCAGAAAGGCCTTGATGCCGGTATGAATGGATACGATTTTACAGTGGGATTTAGAAGCAAGGTCCAGTGCTGTGAACCTGTGGGAGGCTAGCGCCCTGCTGACGGCATAATGATGGCTTCTGTTGTAATTTGTATAGCAGGTTGAGCAGTAAATCACATGTACTCTCACCCTATGTATATAGAAGAAGACGTAAAGTGAAACATACAGATATTCCAATGAACTAGCAGATCTGAGGACGATACTGTACTCACTGTTTGAGAGTTTAAGGAATCTGATAATATATCAGCTGATGATCATATTTTTACAATAAACACAAAATTTGCTAAGGATTCCTAACTTTGTTATAAACTGTGACCAAGATATGTACTGAGTGGGGTGTTTTACAGATGGAAAATAAACATGTTAGTGCTCTCTGGTGGACAAACTATGTAATGACAGCACAACATCTTTGGCATTGATCCACTGCAATTTATTGCAACTTATCAGCCAGCAGACAGTATATGCCAATGTACTGTGTGTCAGTGATAAACTAAAATCAGCCATGGCAGTATATTGGTTGGGCTCTACAAAGAACACACAGATGAGCTCCTAACCACCACCTTCCACTGAACCTTCCCCCCCAAGGGGCCTTGAGTAACGTGATGCGGGAGTGTGAGGTACAGTACTGGCGCTGTTGCTGCAAGCCATTCAGTTTTTATATAGAGCGGGTCTAACTCACTCATGGGTAACACACGGCACAGGGCCAGAACTGATTCAGGCCTGCAGCCCCCTCAAGGGAAAAACAAAACTCAGTAATGGTAAATGGACCTGTATAGTGCCTTTCTAGTCTTCCAACCACTCAAAGCACTTTCACACTACATGGCACATTTAAAGTCCATCCAAACAGAAACTAACTCATTCACACACCAATGACACAGCCTCAGGAGCAATTTGTGGAAGACCCACTCTACCTCTGAGCCACAGCCGCCCCTTGAGTCCATGTTTCCAACAAAATGCTATGTGTTACATCAGTGGCTCATATATATCAAACAATTGGCAAGATGTAGGCTAATTAAAAAATGTATACTGTATGAAAGTGGATTGTTTTATGTAAGTAATCTTTTCATTGCAATCTCAGAGTACATCACATTGACACATACAGCTGTAAAACATTTTCAATCCAAGTTCTTGTTTTAAGACCCAGGCCATCTGGGCTGGCAAATGCCCTGTTGTAAAGCAGTCTGTCATGTAGTTTAACATAATTCAACACTATGTGTTTCGTGTTATAATTCAACTTTGCAATAAGTCAGTATGGCCTTTTGGTCTTTGTGGTGTGTCTCTCAGCACTTTATTGCAAGGCTCCAGACATGGCAACAGCACAGTCACCCTGAAACTGTAGAGAAACAATGCTGTCTTCCACAAATGCTCTCTGTGACTTACCAGGCAAAGGTCCAGAACCAAAAGCAAGGAAGAAAGAGAGCATAATAGGATAGTAACGCTGCATAAATATCATACAAAACACAAATATATTTCTCCAAAAATAAATATGTAAATAAATAAATAACTAAAACACATTATGTCTGTAGTCTGTATGTCTAACAGTCTTCTCTTCTGATTAGCACATTTGTGAAAATACCAATACTTTCACTTTACGCTTGTGTGAAGTAACTTAGCTTCATACTTCAACACCTAATAAAGAAGAAGATATACTTTATTACACCCCAAAGAGGTCAAAGAAGTAAAATAAGAACAGAATCAAAAGAGGAAGTAGTACTAGTGGAAACATGACACATGTGCTTTCATAAAATGAAACAAACTCGGTTAAACCCAAAACATTCCCTTTTGTGGGAAAGTTCACCAATTCTATATTACGACAGATCTACTCACATGAAAATATATGACGCACTCAAGGAAAATGTAACACTGGAAGTTTGAACCTTTTAAAAGTCTTTAAAGTCCACATAATACTTCCATTTATATTGTCCTGTTCATAATGTAGTGCAACACACACAGGGACGGACCTAAAGAAATATTCATGGGGTGGCAAGAGGGTGGCATGGAGACTTCAGGGGTTGGCAGAAATATATGCTGATTTAATTAATTTACATATATCAGTATTTGCTTGAAAAAGGCCTGTTTGTAGATATTTGAACACAAAAAAACATTATTGTCAGCATTTGACACCACCATCACTTTTTATACCACCGTTTTAGAGCCGCCCCTGCATTCATGTGTGTTTGCCCCTGTATTATTTGTGGTGATCTTTGTCTAACTCCACTCGATCTTTCTTTTTCATTTATGTATTTTGCAGCAATATCTGCGGCCAGTAGAGGATGTGGCCTCCGCCCAGGAGGACTGCTATAAGTTTGCTGTGTCCCAGTCTAGCACTGGTACAGTGATGGGGGCTGTCATCATGGAAGGCTTCTATGTGGTCTTCGACCGAGAAAAGAAACGCATCGGCTTTGCTGTTAGCACCTGCCATGGTGAGGAGCACAGGGTGGAAGAGGAAGGGAATCAGAGAGCTTTATAGTGTAACATGTAAAAGAGGAAAAGAAAAATGTATTATTTATTTGTGATTATACACTAATGAAATGACTAATGAATTTTTTATCCCATTTGTGCCAGTAGATCCTCCTAAACGTTACACACTGGACCTTTGAGGATATCTCGCTTATGAATTATTTACATAAATAATAACACACAGTATCTGTTAACCTGATCTTTGTATTTCACATATACAAACAATCCTATTCTCCTGTTTGTAGTGCATGATGAGTTTCGCACCGCCTCTGTGGAAGGCCCGTTCCATGGTGTGGACCTGGAGGACTGCGGCTACAACATCCCTCAGACAGACGAGTCCACTCTCATGACCATCGCCTACATCATGGCGGGAATCTGCGCTCTCTTCATGCTTCCGCTCTGTCTCATGGTGTGCCAGTGGCGCTTTGCCCGCTGCCTCCACCCACATGGGGACTTTGCTGATGATATATCGCTCCTTAAGTGAAAAGGGGGGGGTGGGGAGAAGCGGACAAAAAGAGTCGTAGAGATCCACACTTGAAACGGAGATGGAATGTGGTAAAAGGGATGTACGTTGTTACGTAATATTGCCGCTGTTGAAAGAGAGCTACTCCAGGAATATAATACGTAAAGTATAGAAAATGCTGACATACAGTGAATACACAGTGAACAGTGGTGCCCTCAAATTGGAGAGCACTTGAGGATAACTAGAGCCATTACTAACCTGAAGGACAAACAAGAGAAAGTTGGTGTCATCAGCATCAACTTTGCCTGTTTAAGCTACCTATGCAGATCAGCATGGCTAGAGGAACGGAAGAAAAAAAAAATCTGCTATTTCTTATAAATAGTGTATAAATAGACCACAGGGATAGATTGGATTTGAAATTTGGAATCTGTTCATATTGGAGAGCTCCACACACAGATAATGAAAAAAAAAGACAAATGTTGCTTAATGAAGAAACTCATGAGCTGGACACAAGTTGAGAATTCACCATGTAGTCGGACCTAGTTTGCTATGGTATGATTTGAACATATGAGTGTGCGGTTACATGTGTGTGTTTATAGATCTACTGTTCGTGGCTTATGAGTGAATGAAGCAAGTTTGATATGTATGAGCATGCCTGTATGTGTGCACAGCTGTACTTTAAGTGAAGAGTCTAAAGAGAAGATTTAATGAAAATGATACTACTGAGAATGAATAGCGTCTATGAGGTTACACTATTTTGCAAATGCCAGCGAAGAATTCTGCAATGCAAATTAAGTAAGCATAAAGAAGCTAATTTGATGAAATAACAGATTGTATAACAGCATTTACTGCATACAGTCAGTTTTGCTTTGTGTTGAACTGAGACCACTGAACACAGTCAATATCAGATGTCACTTTTTCTTCTTATACTGATAGCTTAAATATATCTATTGTACACAAAATTGGTGCATTCCAGATCTTCTATTTGCGCAGGCACACACACACACACAGAATACACATTGCTTATCCTACTGCTGCACCATCTGATGATTTGCACATGTAACAATGCATTACATGTTAACAAACCAAGACTTCATAGGGCTTCTTTCATAGACACAGAAACAGCCAAACTCACTACATCTTTCAATGGGGACCATATATGCTTGGGGAAGGAAACCAGCCCAAACTATGTTATACACTGAAGAACACTATGTATGTCTACAAGGGACAGTTTATATTGTCCCTTAGCAAGCTGTAAATAGATAAACTCAGAACTGTATATTTATCTGTCAGGCTCTGGCAGCACTGTTGAACCAATAAAGTATTGTAACTGTAATGTGATTTTTTTTATTATTTCCCACTTAAACTAAGTTATAGACTGACATCCATTATGTTTGAAATGTACCATTTCTGTGCTAAAAAATAATGAAAATATCAAATTCATACAGTAGTCTGTATACCAGAAACTCCACAATATCAATAATTCTTGGTGATGTTTAGGGCATGGTATAGCTGTTCAGTACATGTTTTTCAAAGTGAGATCTCAGAAAAGGAGTATGATGAAGATGAAAGACCATTGTTATATTTTCTGCCATTCAGTGTCTGATTCAGTATGACCCCGCTTTAAAATCACTTCTTCCACCTTTTTTCCCAACATTTTTCATTTGTTGGCCTTCATCTCATGCTCTTCCCAAGGATGGATTATTGATTATTGCTTACGGCTTTGTGGTGATTTGAATAGTTGGATATTTGTTTGAAAATATGAAAATTCCAGTATCAGCTTAAAGTAGATGGATATTTAGTTGGGTCCTCCATTAGTCAAAGTCAGCTTTATTGTCAAATATGCTATACATGACATACAGCACAGATGAAATTTCAGTCCTCTCGAAACCACAGTGCAAACAGGCAATAAAAATAAAATAAATTAACGTTTAGTCTCTGTTGTTAACTTATATGTCTATATATTAGACAGTACGTCCTGTATTTAGACAACCTGGGGGTTGGGACCCCCCTGGGAGTTGCCAAACTTCATTGGAGGTCACAAGGTCTTCCTGAATTTTAAGGTATGCTAGAAAACTTAAATAATATACACAGTAGGCCTATACTTTGGCATTGGTTCATTTCTGTAAGAAAAGTAGAGTTGTATAGAACAAGGCACAGCGTAAAGTACAAGAAAACATTGGGGCAAAAAAAGCCTATTAAGGTCTGTAAAGTGTTAAAAATTATTTAAAAAATATAATACAGACAGATAATTGTATAAAAAGCTCTCTAAACAGGAAATAAAGTGCTCAAAATCTTCCAAATCACTCTATTTTACACAGACTTCTTGCAGTTACTGAGTTCATTATTCGACATGATGTCGTGGTTCAGAGTCCGCTGTGGCTCTGGCCAATCAGCTGGCACGCAGGACGACGCCGTAACAACTGTATGACGTAGTACGTATTGTCGAGACTTGTATGTTACCGGAAATAGATGACAAGCGCCACATTAACATATTCTTAAATGCCACAAGGAACAGATGAGAAAACAAAGTCACAGAAAGGTAAGATGTCACTTCATTATGCAATAGATTCCGCGTTACTTATTCGTGCTGTGATATTTCTCAGTAGTTAGCGTCCGGACACTGAAGCTAACTTACTATGACAACAACAACAACGCTTCGTTGTTAAACTCGAGTCTCGCTCCTAACGTGTTGTTCTGACTTTGTTATGTTGTGTGAATTTTTCTAGCTGTATCGTTGTCCCAGTCGCTCGTCAAACGACTAACGCGTAACCAGCTAGCTGCCCACTAGCTAGCACAGGCTAAATGAAACTAAGCAATCAGCAAAACTGAAAGCTAGCTGACATTAGCTGTCACGGAGCTGAGCAGGTTGGATTATAGCGCGTATCAAAAGCTTTCCTGTGTGTGAGGAGAAGCACACGAGTAGGTGAATGCCTCTATACTGTCTTGAGCTGTGCTGTGTGTGTTGAAGGACGTCTGTTGAATAACTCGCCATGTAGCGGTGTGTGTTTGTGATGATACGGACGTAAGTTAAGTTATTCTTGTGTTGTTATATTATTGTACGACAGGGACAGATGTTTGGCTCCAGAGGTGCAAGAGTTCGGTGTTTTGCTCAAGACAGGTGGGCGTTGATGTGATGCTTGAATTGTTTTGATATAATGGGTCGTTTTTATATAAACCTTTAATTCCAGCTCGTGTGTGTGTGTGTGTGTGTGTCTCTGTCCTGTGTGTGTGTGTGTGGTGTGTGTCTTCTGTGTGTCTCTGTCTGTTGTGTGTGTGTGTGTGTGTGTGTGTCCTCTCTGTGTGGTGTGTGTGTGTGTGTGTGTGTGTGTGTGTGTCTCTGTGTGTGTCTGTGTGTGTTGTGTGTGGTGTGTGTTGTGTGCTCTGTGTGTGTCTCTGTCTTGTGTTGTGTGGTGTGTGTGTGTATCTGCTGTGTGTGTGTGTTGTTCGTCTGTGTGTGTGGGTGTGTGTGTGGTCTCTGTTGTGTGTGTGTGTGTTTGTGTGGTGTGTGTTGTGTGTGTGTCTTGTGTGTGTGTGGGTGTGTGTGTCTTCTGTGTGTGTGTGTGGTGTGTGTGTGGTGTGTGTGTCTCTGTCTGTGTGTGTGTGTGTGTTGTTGTGTGTGTGTCGTGTGTGTGTGTCTCTTCTGTGTTGTGTGTGTGTGTGTGTGTGTGTCTCTGCTTGGTGTGTGTGTGTGTGTGTTGTCTCTGCTGTCTGTGTGTGTGTGTGTGTGTTGTCTCTGTCTGTGTGTGTGTGTGTGTGTGTCTCTGTCTGTGTGTGTGTGTGTGTGTGTGTGTCCTGCTGTGTGTGTGTGTGTGTCTCTGTCTGTGTGTGTGTGTGTGTCTCTGTCTGTGTGTGTGTGTGTGTGTGTGTGTGTGGCAGTTGTGAAATCTGGATGACTTCATTGTGATCTTGTCATTCCCCTTTTTAATTGAGGGTTCAGAGTCAGCTTATTTGACTTCCAGGAGAAATACTTAACTGAAAGATTATTACATTTACATTCACTTGCATTGAATGCAGTCTGTAGTCAAGGCTGCATCACTGCTTCGGGGCCAGAGAGCCCCAGGCTCACACGGTGCATGTCTCAAAATAAAACTGTTTAGGTGAATTAGCCCCATTTATTGAGAGACAGAACCTGGAGTAGTACCAGGTCGTGTCCCACAACAGGTGTACTGGTTGGTTTCTGGGTAAATTGGCTGCATGTGCTGTTCTGGGAATAACAGGTTGATCCTGCTGCACTGTGAGCTCCAGGTAGACTTTGAATGTTCATTGGCTGCTCTCCTAAAATCACAGCTTAAGTATCCTGCATGGATAAACTCTCCACCGTTTCATACCAAAACAAGGCTACGGTTAGGGAGGGAAACTAAGTGATGTTCTGACTAACAGTGCTAATAGAATAGCATTCATGTGTAAAAGTCTATTCACAGTCGTCAGTGCAGGAGCTTCAATGTAACCACAGAGCGCTAATCGAATGTGCCGCAGCCCCAGCTCTCTGAACTGGCGTCCAGTTAGCGCGATGCTGTGAACTTAATAAGTGCTCTCTGAATGCAGCACACAGATGATGAGCGACCAACCACTCGTTCTCAGGTTGTTCTCACTACTTACAAGACCGTCTTTTCTCCTGTCTTTGTCTCACATCCAGGTTGCTGTTCAGATGAGGAGGGCTTGCTTGATTGACCCTCTGTGTCGCCCTCCGTTGCCATGGCAACGCCATATTTTCCCACGTTCCTGATCCTCCTCTTTCTGTCCTCCTTCACCCTCTTGCTTCTGACCCTCCTGCCCTCCGTCGCCCCATCGATTCCCTTTTCCTCCTCTTCTCCTCCCTCACCTTGGCCGTCACCGTCCTGCGGCCTGGGTCAGTCCTGGGCTGTCCGGATCCATGCTGGGCCACATCATGAGGAAGAAGACAGTGAGCAGAGCTCTGTGCACCTGGATGCTATAGCCAGCAGGGTACAAAACCTCCTGAACACTTTCTGCCGATATTTTAATCCATAAAGAAGAAATATGTTGTGACATTTTCCAAATCAAACTGAATGTTGGAGGGCTACAGTATCTGTTTACTGATTGTGAGACTGATTTGGGAGAATGACACATTCGGTGTGGCCTCGTTTCTTGCGTCATAAGACGTAAACTGTCATTTAGTTTTTTTTAAATCCAACATATGTTTTAGTTGTTGGCTTTATGTTTCACGCTCCCCATTTGTACCCTATTTTCTGCAACAACCCCATTTCTCTGCAGGGATCACAGAAGTATCATCTAATCTGTTTTAAAGTTGCCTAGGTCAGGGGAAAAACACAAGTTGCCCACTTTTAGAAGTGTTGTCCCAGTTAAATTTGTACTCATCATCACTATTCTCTCCATCCCAGGTAGCAGAGCAGGCTGGGCTGCAGAACCATGGCCAAATTGGGCAGCTGGAAGGCCACTACTTGCTTTGTTCTGTCAAGCCCAGAACTGGATTTCTGGCTGGTGTTTGGAGCAAGAGTGTCCATCCTGGGGACGTCCTGGCAGCACACCCTCATGTCCTGTGGCACTCCCAGGAGAGAGTGCTTAGCCGCTCGAAGAGATCAATTGCCTTTAACGATCCCCGCTACCCTAAACAGTGGCACCTGGTGAGAATCTGTACTATTGTGTATCTTTGTTACTTTCTTGCAAGACTAATTTACTCGTCTTGCCCTACATTAGCGCTTAAAATTAATAATTCATGAGACAAAATAATCCGTGTAATAGTCACTATTGATTTAATTTATTTATTTTTCTTCAACACTAGCACTTTATGTACAACTAGTCTAGCAGGCAGCCAGTCAGGAGCTATTTTGTGCTTTAATTTACTTTTCAGTGAGAGTCCACTGTGGCTGGCAGGGGCAACGTTTAAGAGCAGGCACAGACTTTAGCCCCATTCAGATTTCACTGGTCAGTGATTTTAATCCCACCCCCTTTGATGATCTCATCCTCTCCTTACTCTTCCTTTTCTTGCAGCACAATTACATCAATAAGGGTATGGACATCAACGTAACAGGCGTGTGGGAGCGCAACATCACTGGCCGAGGAGTCACCGTGGTGGTGGTCGATGACGGGGTCGAACACACCCACCAGGACATCCAGCCCAACTATGTAAGTCAACCAGTGGCTCCATTGTATGATCAATGGATTGTCAATATGTCCTGCTACTTATCTATGAACTGTGTGTCTCACCTCATAGACATTTTTTCCAACAATCATTTTTCAACCCTGTCAGAGTCCAGAGGGCAGTTATGACCTGAACTCCAACGACCCAGACCCCATGCCTCACCCGGATGTCCATAGCGACAACCACCATGGGACGCGGTGTGCCGGTGAGATCGCGGCTGTTCCCAACAACAGCTTCTGCGCTGTAGGGGTGGCCTACGGCAGCAAGGTGGCAGGTACTGACAAGATCATTTAATTTGGAACTGTTGCATATGCCAGTGTTAAAAAACCACTGAGTCAGACGCTGAGACTTTGGGTAAATGTGTGTGGTGAAACATCTCTCGCTCTGTTCAGGTATCAGAGTTTTGGATGGCCCGCTGACAGACAGCCTGGAGGCCATAGCCTTCAACAAGCACTACCAGGTCAATGACATCTACAGCTGCAGGTAACAAACAGGTCTCTTTCTGGTCCTAAAGTATTTCCTCTAGGAAAGTCAAATATCTCAGATGTGTATGTGTGCATTGTGTGGCTATATTTCCTGTGTAATTTCACAGTGCCTTAATACTTCATTGTGAAAGTCTTTTGGATTCTGATTTAGCCTCTTGTCTGCTCTAGTTGGGGTCCAGATGATGACGGACACACTGTGGATGGACCCCATCCCTTGGGCAAGGTAAGAGAAAGACAGTTAGTGTGGAGTACCATTTCTGTCCTGCAGGGGGCAGTACATTACAACAATGTGGTGCAGACATGTATAAAAACACTATGTACAGTGCTTTCACTTCCCTATTTTCATCATATCATAATTTATTTTTCCTCCACAGGCGGCGCTGCAGCACGGGGTGATTGCAGGCAGACAAGGCTTCGGCAGCATCTTTGTGGTTGCCAGTGGCAATGGAGGTCAATACAATGACAACTGCAACTATGACGGCTACGCCAACTCCATCTACACCATCACAGTCGGTGAGATACAGAGCTGTGTGTCTGTGTAAGTCTGTAAGTTCAATTGTGGTTTTGGTGTGGACATGTGCACATAAGCAATCATTATGTGTGTGTGTGTGTG